AAGAAGAAGAAGAAGAAGAAGAAGAAGAAGAAGAAGAAGAAGAAGAAGAAGAAGAAGAAGAAGTCAAACATCCAGAGGATTGGGAAAACTACAGCAACCCTCTGGATTTTAGGTTCTCCTGTAGGAACATGCTCCAAAAAGTTCAGAGCCCACATATGCCCGAAGATCCCTCCTTGCATTCAGAATTCCAAATGTCTTCAAATGCACCCATAGAAACCAGTTTCCAAATGCCTCAAGAGCTTGCAAAGAATTTGCCTTTCCAAGTGTGTCAGAGTCCCCTAGTGACTCCAAGAAGTCCAATGCAATCAAGTCTTTCAGTCATTAAAAGGGACTTAGGTCAGCAAGAGTCCCAAAGTCCATCAAGACAATCAAGTATACAAATGCAACCAGGTCCTGCAATGGACCCAGGTTTACCAACTCTGAGAAGCCTCTTAGTGCGTTCAAGTCATCAGATACCTTCAAGATCCTCACTGAGATCTAGTCTCCAGGGTTCTCTAGGACCTATGGTGCTGTCAGCTGAATATGATGACCAACAATCCAGCCTTGTGACTCCAAAGAAGCAAAAAATATGCACTGTATACTCCAAAGAACAAAAGCACCTGCTGCAAAAATATTTTTCTGAGTGCTCACACCCAAAACAGGAGCAATGCACGGCACTGGCATTATTGATTGGTATGAGAGCGAATGATATCCAGATCTGGTTCAAGAATTACCGGGCTATGTCCAAGAGGAAGAATCTCCAGAATGTTCCAGTAGCATTGCCAGAGATAAACGGAAGCTCCGAAGCTGTTTCTGAGGCAACCCATTTTCCTGGTTCTTTATCTGTTGTTGCTTCTGCCAATAGAGAGTCCATATGTTCAGGCACATTTGGTGAGGATTCCATTCCCAAACTCAACTGCAACCAGGAATCTTCTCGCCATCGTGACCCGGCTTGTGATGATTCCAGGTTTAGTCAGCAAGAATATCTGCTTGATGGCCGTGCCCCTGTTACAGCTGAGGACTCTAGTCAATCTATAGCAGTTGAAGTCCAGACTGACCTAGCAGTAGCTGAAGCTCCAGTTGGCCTGGCAGCTGCTGCCCAAGGCCCAAAGGATGCTCAAGGTTCAGGTCCATCTGCAGAGGAGCTCTGGCAAAGGATCCTTGAAGATTTTTGACAATTCAGATGACTGGCTTAGTATGTCATACCATCCAGACTGCAAGTAACACCTCCCAGTCCCTTGACCAATCCAGGCCTTTACAGCCAGGGAGAAGTGTTAATGCACATCCTTAATCCCAGTATTTGTGGAAATTAACCAGGCCTATCTGCTGAAGATTCATACCACTGTGGTTTACATAGTGGGATTGTTTTAAAGTCAGTTTAGGTATTCATTCTTTATTGTTAGATTATGTGTTCATTAAATAAAAGGAGAAAATAGTTACTGCAAAAAAATTCTTAAAATATTTGGAACTTCGGTAAAATACGTACAATTAATCCCCAAGGAAATCCATGTCTGTTAATAAAAAGCACTCAAACAGAATAACAATAGAAACACAATGTATCAGAGCCAGAAGGATGCACTTAAGGTATGCCAAGGGAAGCTTAAGGCTTACAATGCTTGATTAAAGAAAAAATGTTTAAAACCAAACATCCAAGCAGGCAATTTAATGTTAAAAAAAAAAGAACATTGAATTGTACATGAGCAATGAAAGTAATAGGTCAGGCATCATGTATCAATAAACAAACTAAAAATTATATACAAAGTTAGCAAAACCTATAAATAAGGCCTTGAAAATAAGTATTAGATCAATACATTTCTACTTAAAATATAAACCTAGCTGAAGCCATATATGGTGTTACACACCTGTGCAGGAGCTTCACCAATAGTTCAAGGCCAGCATTGGCTTCATACCAAGTTTAAGATTAGCCTATGCTACATAACAAGTCCCTGTCCTAGAGACATAATAGTGAAAAGCCTAGTTGAATTTATAGATGCTCAAAAACACATTTACACACACAAGATTGTTCTCCATAATCAAATATGCCAATCACATTTGTACAAGGAAGAAATAAAACTCTTAGATTCTTGGACATCACTATTATCAAACTTTCAGAAAACAAGACGAGCTATTTCATAAGTTGTGTTAGAGGGGACTTGCCAGGGACAACAGAAAATGAGAGGAAGACAGCACTTAACTCCCTGGGGAATAGACACAAAACATTCACAATGTTTCCAAACTGATTCCAGAAATCTGGAGATACCAGCAAACAGTGTCACAAATCAGGGCAAGACTCTCGGTCAACTTATGCTGAAAACTTTCAGTAAAGTAGAAATAGAAAATCATCTCTTGTTTTGACAAAACTTGATGACACAAAACCCATTCTCCTGCAGACACAGAAGTGAGCATGTGCCTCCCGTACACATTCGTGTTGTGGGGCAGCCAGGGAAAGACTTGGGAGATCTGAAAGATGCCATTTAGGGAAAGAAGAAACACTTATGCATTAGTTACGTTTCGTTGCTGTGATGAAATACCATTGTCCAGACCAACTAAAGGTAGACAGGGTGTATTTTAGCTTACAGTTGCAGAGAGGGATTGTCCATCACCGCGGTGAGGACTACAGCAGGGAAAGAATGTGGCAGAAGCTGGCTGATTGCTTCTCATCTAAGGGGAGGTGGGAAGGAGGAAGATGGGGAATGAGAGAGGGGGGAAAGGCGGAGAGGGAGGAGGAGGGAGAAAGACTGGGGGACAGGGATATAGAACCTCAAAGCCAGCCCCCAGTGATGCACTTCCTCCAGCAAGGCTCCTCCACCTAATTGTTCCAAAATGTTCCCTAACTGAGCCACCAACCAAGTCTTCGAACACATGAGGGGGGCATTTCTCATTTAGAGCACACCATACTTCAATCGCAGGTGGACTGACTGAGTATTCAGAAGCAATCAAAAAATCACAAAAACTCACCGCAGTGAACACAAGAGTAAAGCACAGAAAATCAGCTCACAAAGTCAACGGTCTTCCAAAGCAGCCACTGTGGAGTCTGGTATAGAAGTACCATACATGCAGGTAGTACCTGATGTTAGTTCCCAAACATCAGTCTGGAAGGACTCCCCAGTCAAGTGAGAGAACTTCACATCTTCTGCATGGGAAACCACTCAGCACTGCTTAGAGAAACTAAAGATTTAAATGTATTAGAAACTGCATTGCATCTAAGGAATGCTAAAATGCCAATTCTCCCAATTCAGTTGATTCATTTAGCGCAACACTCAATAACATTTCAATTCTGACAGCCACCTTTAAGCCTTTATGAGAATGCCGTAGTCCGGGAGGAAATAATCTTGCAAACTAAGGTGAGAGTTGGAAGACTTGTCCTGCTCAACCGCAGAGATCGCTGTGCACAACCACGAGAATTAAAGGTGGTGTTGCTGTCACTATGGACAAGGATTCTCAGGCACAGCACTGTCTCCTTGTGCTGATAGACTACCTAGTGCCATTGCTGCCTTCTGCTTACAGGATTCAGTAATCCTCCCACTCTGCCCCACTAGCTAATGACTATACCTATGCCTTGCCTGCGACTCCTTGGCTTGAGAATCAGTAGCTTAAAAAAACCAAAAAACAGAGGAATGGTATGGCCCCGGGATGTCAGAGACTGCCCCACATTTGAATTTTTTATTTATTTTCTACAAATGAAAGTATTTGGGGGGGTCATATAAATAACCATCCACTACCTGTACTAGAGCAATTTGACATCTTAAAGGCATACAGTGATACTGGATTGTAGGAAAGGTCTGGTCAAGTCGAAGTCCACCATGACAGGATAGCCTCTGGGCTTAGTGCAATATGGGAGACTCTCTTCATTATTGGGGCTTCTCCTTCACTGACCTTGTCTGGGGAATTCTTAAGCTCACACATGTACCTCTACCTGAGAAATGTCACCATGTAGCCTCAATTAGATTACAGGATCAATTTCTTTTCTCCTGATAAAACCTGTTCAGCCAGTACCTGAGATTCCTGAAATGATTCCCCACGCTAATGAGGCATCCCAGGTACTCTAAGTACCCAGCTGATGACCTTTGACCATCCTGGGTGTTCTTCTCCTCAGTCTCCCAAAATTTTATAAGCCTTGAATCACCTTATGTAAAGTTGGTCTGCCTGCTGACTGCTGCCCTTGGTATGGTCATTCATAGTATGTACTCACAGGGTTTTTTGAACCCCACTGCTGGCCGTCTCTGCTCTCACTGCCCGAGTGGATTGACTCAGCCAACAATCCACGAGGACAAGGAGACCCACACTGAGTCCTACCCATCTCAGGTAATATGCAAGAATTAATTCAGGGTGGACTAAAGCTTAAGTGTTAAAATTTCCACAGGAGCGCATAGGATAAGAACTTTACAACCTGAAGGAAAGCCACATGTCTTAGATAATACGATCAGCACACAACAGGAAATACACATCACTGATAACTTCTAGTGCATCAAAATGACAAACTTTTGCATATCAAAATAAATAATTAAGATCTACCTCCCACCACATGATGCAAGGGAGTGAAAGATACCCAGAGACCTGCCTGCCTCGTGGTCTGCCTGCAGCAGAAGCCACTACCATGTATAAGTATGGAGAGATGGGAGAGAAAGAGAAACAAAATGGTTTCAGCATTATAAAGAGAGACAGAGCTGGAGAATCAAGGGTAGTGAGGAACAGCCTGGTGTGAGCATCCTGCCCTGCCACCTGAGGTTGTGGTGAGGTCCCAGGTGTTGCAAGGGCAGAAGGCAGATACAGGGGATGGAGGGACGAGGGGGTGGTGCATGACACAAAGAATCAATAAAAAGTTCAAAATAAATAAATAATTAATTAAAAATACCAAGGCAAGGTGCATACTGGGAGGTAATATTTGCCCTGCATTCCCCCAATAGAACATAAATTCAGGATATGAATTTGTCATACAATTATTTCATGACTGGGAATTAGTCATAAAATAAATATAACTCTAAATGCAGATACAACAGTTCCAAAACATCAGAGGAATGCAACTCATCATGAATCTCTCTTTTAATTGTTTTTATTCTTGCATCTACACACGTGCGTGTCATCACGCTTTGTTCTAATTAAACTGCAGTCAGACAGAGCTTATCGTTCCCTAAAAGACTTCGCTAAAAACACATCGACGGCATCAACTGCTGCTGATTATCTAGAGCGAGTGGAAAACGTCACATGGTCAGTGGGAGCGGAAGACATTATGTGTGGCGGTTTCTTCTATGAGCCTCGAAGGGTATGGATGGAAGCTTTAGTAGTCACAGTGGGAGAAAAGTCCAGGTGTCCTTCTGCAGAGGGCACACTCGTGGACTGGAATCCTGTCAGCTGTATAACAGAAGATAGTGTGCATGCAGACAGCAATGGCTAGTAGAAGAGGTGAGGTATAAAAGAGGGAACACCATGAATTTCCTGCATGGGGACCTCAGCAGCAGGTCAAAGAAGGACACAGTATGAGGTCAGATAGCTGCAGTGTCCAGGATGGGAGGGAGCAAGGAGAAGAAGGTTCACCATGGGATGGTTTTGGAAAACAAAATAATGTCTAGTCTGGCCTGAGGTGAAGTGTCCACAGGCATTTTCAGGACTCATTCGCATACAGCAGAGTGCACATAGGGCCTGTACATTCTGCTATATGTGAATTTTGCCTAAAATAACCCTCAGTAAAACAGTCCAGCTTCCCCTGTCAGGTTTGCCTTTTGTTGTGGTATGGCTTCAGGGTTCTGTAAGTTATTGTTGAGGTTACACAGGACTACATGTGCTGAAGACAATGGAAGCGAAGCATCTCAGGGCCCAGAAGGCGTCTCCACATACAGCTCCGGGTGCATCCAGCAGAGCCTCACTGGATCTGGTGTATCAGTGTGAACCCTTGACTTCACATGGACACACCAATCTCCATGTGTGGGAGGGGAAGGTATGAGCACATACATGTACTCCTAATTAAAATTTTGTGTGTACACGTGTGTATTTCCTAATGTAAATTTCTATGCATGGGCACATGTGCACATATATGTGCTCCTTAACATAAATTTCTGTGTGTGCACACGCAGGCATGTATTTTCTAACGTATGTATTTATGTGTGCACACGTGTGTGTGTTTACTCCTTAATGTAGATTTCTGTGTGTTCTTGCATATGCATGTACTTACTAATGC